CCCCCCCACCCACACACACCCACCACACACACACACCATACACACCCCCACACACATACACACACACCACAAACACAAACCACACACACACCACACACATATAAATACACACACACACACACACCCCTTCTCACCACATGCTGTCTGTTTCTTCCTATTAGAACATCAGGTCTTTGAGGGAAGGCTTCTCCTGAGTGCTCATTTTTGTGTCTGCAGCACTTAGCATAGTGCCTGGCACATAGCAGGCACTTAATAAACGTACTCTCTACTTATTTATCCTGGAGTCATGTCATGACAGCTGTATAGTCCTTGGAAGCTGGCTGACCGCCTCGTATCCATGACCTCATCTGAACTAGGTACTACACAGTATTCCTGTCCCCATTTCACCAGTAAGGAAACTGAGGCACAGAGAGGAGTGATTTGCTTTTGGCAAATGTCAGAGGGCCCCAGGTCTTCCAGGCTCAGTAGCTCAACACCTTCCAAGCCCCCTGCCTCTCTCCTCTCCTCCCCATTGCCTGCTCTTGCGAAGGGCTTTGCCTGGTATTATGTCCCACTCTACCTGAAGGCAGAGATTGAGAGCAGACTGAGAACACAGCATTTTAGCTGACCAGCCGTCGTCTTCCCTTTCTCTCAGATGTTTCCAGGTTTTCCTCCAGGGCACTACATGCCCTCTGCCAAATGAACCAGCCCCACTACCTCTTGGCCTCCACAGCTGGGTCCTAGCTTTACGCGGACCCCACGTGGATAAGCAGCCAATACTGGGGATCCCTGGTGGCCTGCCACTGGGGCAGGGCACCCCTTCTCAGCTTCCTCAGCTGCAAGCTCTGCCTCACTTTTCTGCTCAGGTTTCCTGCTGGGTCCAATGTCCACAGGCCCAGGACCACACTGTAGCCTATGACTGCTTGCCACAGAGCTCCTCGGCTCTTCCTGCTCTGGGGAGACTTCTCCCCCTACTGCCGGTTCTCTCTGTGTCTCCCCCTACCCGAGGAGTGCTGAACTAAGGGGGGGGGGAGTGTGGGGTGGGGGGCTGCTCAGGTACTCACAGTCTCTCCAGTGATGGCAGACCCAAGAAGGCCCCGCTCTTCACTCCCAAGATCTTGTTGTGGGTCAGGATCCTGGAAGAAGCCAGAAGAGAATGGGGTAAGAGGACAGAATCCTCCCTGCCTTGACCAAAAACAGAACAGCACTTGTTGATGTCCCAGAAGCCCTCATCACTACACTATGTGCTCTGGTTAGCCCGACCGATACATACAGGAAAAGCAGTCACTCATGAGCACGGGCTGGCAATGACTTTTTCAACATCTTCTCTTATTAAGTATGTAAATGGTCTGTGGCTGGCTGCCCCTGGGCACCAGGAGTCCATCCTGCAGCCGTCCTTTGGCCAGGACTCTTCTGAAAATCTTCTGGGTGATATTACCTATCTATACTGAAGAATGTTGCTGCTTCTCTGAACCTCAGTTTCTTCATATGTGACATTAGAACAATACCACCTACTGCCCAAGGCTATTATGAAGTGCATAGGAGACCAAGGAGTTAACATGTTTTGCAAATTTTAAAATGTTGGGTGCATATATGTGTATGTGTGGTACATAGGTATATACAATAGGGTTAGAAGTGGGTGACAAAGAAAGATGATAAAGATAGAGGCAGATGATAGGTGGATAGATAGGTGATGGATGGACAGATAGATAAGTAGGTGGCTAGATGGATGGATGAATGGATGGATGGATAGATAGATAGGTAGGTAGGTAGATAGGAAGACAGATAAATGGGTAGATTGATGATGAATGGGTAGATAAGTAAGTGGATAGATGGATGAATGGATGGATGGATAGATAGGTAGATAAGCAGACAGATAAATGGGTAGATAGATGAAGGATGGACACATAGATAAGTAGGTGAATAGATGGATGGATAGACAGGCACACAAATAAATGGATGGATGAATAGATAATGGATGGATAGATGGATGAACAGATAGACAAGCAGGTGGGTAGACAGATGGATGGATGGATGGATGGATGGATGGATAGATGTGATTATTATCATTAGGAGTGGTAGCATATGCTATCCTCTCAGTATGACCAGTTAGGTAGACAATAGTAATGGAGTGACAACAGCTTCCTGTCCCCAAATTCCTTAGATCCTGAGGAGTCAGAAGCAAACTCAATGTCAGCAATGAAGGCATCTGGCAATCCCCTCTGAGAAGAACCTTGACACGGGCTGAGCACAATCTGGTCAGAGACAGGAGCACAGTGTGTTGGTGCCTTCCAACGGAAAAGCACTCCTCCTGTGAGCCCCCATCGGTGTCACCCACTACTATAATCTACTGACCCAGAGTCCATCACTACTTTGCCCCTACCTACTACAACCCCACCATTGTTCTCCATGAAGCCAGTCAATAGCATTTATTAAGTGCCTAATGTGTGCCAGGCAGGACACAAAGAAAGGCAAAGACAGTCCCTGCCTTAGAGGAGACCAAAGTCTAGTGGGAGAGACAATATGCAAACAAATATGTACCTTTAATCTATATACAGGATAAATAGGAAATCATCACCAGAGGGAAGACATTAGGATTAAGAGTGATTAGGAAATGCTTTCCATTGAAGGTGGAATTCTAGCTGGGATTTGAAGGAAGACAGGGAATCCCTGAGGCAGAGATGAGGAAGCAGAGAATTCCAGTTATGGGGGATGAGAGTGCCCAGAGCCAAGAGACAGAGCCCCTTGTTTGAAAAGCAACAGAGACCAGTGTCACTTTGACTGGGTAAAGCTACCACTGCTGGGCTGGACCCAGTACCCAGGCCTGATCCTTCTGACATTCATAGTACCTCTGGCACCAGAGCTAAGAGAACTGATCCCCCTGCCCACCCCGGAGTTCTTGAATATGGGAACTCCAAAGCAAAGGTCCCATCCTATGGCTCATGCAGCTCCATCTCCTAGTCCTGGTGGTACAGATGCTGTGGCTGCTGGTGCGAGGAGCAGACCCCAATCCTGTGACTGGGTGCTTTTCCAAACCTATCCCCTCCCACCATGTCCTCTGGAGTTCCCATGTGGTTGTTAACAAATGAGTTAACATATGCCAATTGCTTTGCCCACCTCAAAGCCCTCATGGAAATGCTACTTGTTGTTATTCTCATCTTAGACTTGTTCTGATGCTCAGTTCCATCTGTGGCCCTGAGGGAGACCTGGCTCCCCTCCAGTTGACATCCCAGCCTTTCTCAGGGTGCTGAGGGCACCATCTCTCATGCCTCCTCACTCGCTGGCCTGGGAGAAGAGGTCAGGAGACCTCCTCCCCTCGATGCCATTTCCAGACGCTCCCTCCACCACCAACCTTTAGCAGCCCTGCCTCCTTTGAGGGTGACTCCACTACCAAGTTAATCACCCTGTCCAGATCCCAGGGTGGTAATCCACTCATCACCAGCTTGTTCTCCCCTGGATCACAGTCTTCCTCTTCCCCAAGCCCCCTCCTCATACTGAGGGACTTTCGCAGGCATGCAGCCCATCCCCCAGTTCCTGTCCCTCCAAGCCATGTCGGCCACACAAAGGGCACCACCACCCTTCCAGTCGCTCTGGTCCCTGATTTCGGAGCTAACCGGGGTTCTCCCCCCTCAAGTTGCCCGATCTTGTTTAGGGCTCATGCCCTTCACATCCATCCATTTCACCCCCAGGATGACACTCTCATGTGGGCCCACATCACATCTCACCTGGATCACTGTCCCAGCCTCCTAATGGGTCTTCCTGCTGCCAGCCCCTTCCCCCACTGAGGCCAAATGCAATCCAAAAGTCAAATCCTATCTTGCCCAAAAAGCCTTGCTGTGACATAGGGATGTTTCTAGGGCAAGCCCTTCACAGTCTGACTCTGTCGTTCCAGGCTCCCGGTCCATTGCTATCCTTCAGCCCCTCCCAGCTCCAGAGGAATTGGCCTTCTCACGGCTGAGGACACCCAGCACTCCTGTCCCTGTGTCTTTGTGCTGGCCATCTCCCACAGCTAGGAGGCTCATCCCCTTCTCTTGGAGCCCCCAACTCCCTGGACATTGCTCCAGGGATGCCTCACTGCCACCAGAAATGACCTTGGGTTTGCTCTGAAGAGATTCTGTATTTCTTTAGCTTTGTTCCCGCTGTTCCCTGGCCTGCCCTCACCTGATAGCATGGAAGCTCCTTGAGGGCAGGACTGCTTCACTTTTGTATTTGTACCCTCCCTACCTAAGGCAGTGCCTGGCACACCACACATCTTAACAAATGCAACCAAATGTCTGTGGAGGATCATTCAGCCTGGCCCACCTCCAAATCCTCTCCCATTTTACCACTATCAGAAACCCTTCCCAGGTCGTGAGACTCAGTGCCTAACTGTGCTTTCGCAGACATTGATTTCTGGGCATGCTGCCTCAACATCCCTCCTGGTCCTGGACAGGGTACAGTTAAATTCTGTCCCATCTGCAAGCATCCGTGAAGCAAACCATCCAGGCTGAGTCCTGGAAGTCACCTTGGTGATACCCGCTCAGTCCCGAGTCACGTTTCCTCAGGATGGGGGTGGGGAGCAGCCCATACCAACTCTTTAGAAGTGGGCTCTTCTGGGGGCCAGGGCCTTCTGAGCCCCAGAGGCTCCCCAGATTCCTGCTTCCCAGGCAGGCCGAGGGCATCTTGCCACTCACAAGACAGCAAATGAGTTTTAAATACAGTTCAGTGTGCACACTGGGCAGTTAATAAATGTCTACTGGATTGTCTTTAATTTGCATAATGGAGCTGGAGGCTGGCCTTCCCAGACCCTGAAGAGACTCGTATTCGGGGGGGAAGATTTTAGGTCAGATAGAGACATGCGGATGCAAGGACCTTCTGGGAAGAAGGGTTTTATGAAGGGAAAGGTGAGAGGCCTGCTTTCCACGGCTCAGAGAGAAGACAATGACCTCTGGGTAAATGAGCTCATCTTGCTTCCTGAGCTAGTGAGCTGGGGCTGCCCATAAGCGGTCACCAGGGAAGCAGCGCCCGATGTGGTCATTGGTCCGTGAGATGAAGTCCTTCAGGGGATGTGCCAGCATATGCAAGGATTCCAGGAATGCCACGTGTCTGTGCCTCCCTGCCTTGAGCCCCCACTGGGAGGGTCGGAGAACTGTCCCACCCTGGGACAGGCAGAGGCATCCCAGCCTTCCCTGCTTCCCCAGTGCTTCCTTCACACCTGCTCTGGTCAGTTCCTGGCCCTCCATGGGGCACACTGGCCAACTCGGGATCACAAAGCACCTGGCCAGGTGATCACTGTTGGAGAAGTCTGCTGTCCAGTGCTGTGGGGTGGGGAGGAGGAAGGAGTGGAGGGAGTTCCTGTCCCAGCAGCTGCAGAATACTAGCTCACATTCCAGAGCTGCAAGGCTCTCCACTCCAACCTCTGCAGTCCAGAAAGGGGGCAGCTCTCTGCCCTTACCATCAGCAACAGTGTACAGCAAATATACCCACCTGCCAGGTGAGGAAACTGCGGCTCATAGGCTCAGTGGAAGCCTGTGATGTGGGACTGAGCCAAGGCCTTCTGACTCCAAGTCCGGGGATCCTGTCGACTAAACCTGCTGCCTGATTGGGACAGGATAGAGTCCCAGATACAGCTGGGGCCAGTCTTCCTCTGACAAACATTCATTAAGCACCTTTTGTGTGCTAGGCCCTGTTAGGAGACTTCAAGGCACAGATAAGAAAGAGTTCTTGCCCTCAGGGAGCTTACATTCTGCTGGAGAAAACCACAGGTACCTAGATTAGTCAGCAGAGGGCAGGGATAGGGGAGCTGGCAGGCTAAGTCTGGAAGGAAGCTCCCTTGGGATGCCCCTGGTGCAAGACGCCTTCTAGGCCGGGGGACACAGGCAGGTGAGGGAAGAGCAGATGGAGCCAGTGTGATGGAGGGCAGACTGTGGAGGGCAAAGGGATGCAGCCTAAGGCTGGGGAGGGTCAGGAACCCAACATCCCAGGACTGTGGCATGGCCTGGTTCCACTGCAGCCGTGTAAAGTGTAAAAGGGATGATGGGAGGAAGCAAAAAGACGGGGGAGCTAAGAACCAAAGGGTTTTGAAGGGGCTGAAAGGGGCAGCTAGGTTGCACAGTGGATAGAGCTCCAGCCTTGGAGTCAGGAGGACCTGAGTTCA